AAACTGGGGAGACCCCTAAATTCCACGCCGGATTCCATCTGCCTTGAGACGCGGCCAAAGCTCTTGTGATTGTTCATAAATCCCAACCGCTGCCTTTTGTCACTTGGGGGTGTTTCTTGATCTAAACTGTGGGTTTTTTCTCTTTCCCTTCTCCCGTTCTTTCAGCCTGTGTAAAGGACGGACTCTCTACTCGGTGGTGAGAGACGCCAAAATCGTCCTGGATGTCAACAAGACGAGGCAGATAGCACAAGAGATTGTGAAGGTACCGTGTGGTGGGGGCAGCCCGGCACTGGGGGTGGTCTGGATCCAGCCCAGATCCCGGGGGGAACACCCTGAGGAGTGGGAGAGGAGCAGCCCAGGATTCTGGGCAGGATGGCCCTGCTTGGCTCTAAAATCCAGGTCTCTTGGACCTCCCTCACGTGCTTTGTGCGGCACCAAGGCTTCCATGGGGTCCCCATGGCTGGGGTTCACCCCGGTCACTGCTCCTTTTCCCTCTTAGAAGTGCAGGTGTTGGAGCCCAGCTTCGCTCTGGGAATGAATTGCTGGTTGGATATTCCTCTCCTCTTGTGAAAAAAAAAAAAAAAAAAGTAATAATCACAGAATCCCAGAATGGTTTGGGTGGGAAGGGACCTTAAATCTCATCCCATCCCAACCCCTGCCATGGGCAGGGACACCTTCCACTAGCCCAGGTTGCTCCAAGCCCCTTCCAACCTGGCCTTGGACACTTCCAGGGGTGGGGCAGCTGCTCTCTGGGCCATGTGCTGTTAATAATCTGCTGGTGGTCTGAGGTTTCCACATCTCCATAGCAAAGGCATTCCCAGAGCCAGGGCTCCCGGAGTGTTGGTGGCAGGACGCTGTGGTGCCACGAGGCAGAGCACACGTACATTTATGAGATCGGAAAAGGCTTCTCCTCTCCCAGAGATGACTCAAAGAGCATTTCTGACACTTCAGATGTGACACTGGGGAGGATCCTCACATGGCAGGCTGGAGTGGCTGGGAATTTGGATCCTGAACCATCACAGCTTTCCGGAGGGTGTCTGCAACAGCCCCTGTGCCCGAGAGGTGTTGAGCTGTCTGCCAGAGTTGGGTTGTGCTGTGATTCCAAACCTGTTTATCACCAAATGATACCAAAAGTATTTGGCACCTGTCCCACCCTGTGCCTCGCTCAAGGTCAGCCAGCACCTCCACCCCAGAGCCCAAATCACGTGGGGCTGAGTCACATTTAACATATTTCTATGGGGGGGAAATAAATAAATAAATAAATAAATAAAGCTTTCTGGCAGATCTTAACCCCTCTTAAATATTTAAATCAGTGTTATAAACCAGTGTGCTCTGCAGTAGATCCTGGATGCTGCCGTCCCCTGGACGGTGCTTAGGCTGGCTCTGATTGCCTGTTTTGCATTTATTCACACCCAGATTCAGCAGAGAGCATATTGTTTCTAAGCTTTTTAATTTCAATTCCTCAAAGTCTCCTGAAGTCCCTGGGCAGGAGCTGACAGGGGAGCACAGACTGAACCCCTTTGCTAAGCCAAGCACTGCAAGGGGTGTCTTGGAGCCACGGCCTGAACTGGGGGTGTCTGAGGCACCAAGGGCCTCTCTCCTCTTAATTGTAATTTTTTTTATATTTTCCACTTTTAGATCTGGATTTTTCCCCACTGAGGAAACACATAGTTCGGCCTCATATTTTTTTCCCCTGGCTCGTGCTCAGGGTTCTCACCTCCCAGATGTTCCCAGAGGGAGACTCTGGCTCGGTTCATCCCCTTTCTCTGGGTGGGTTCATTGCTTGGTGAGGGTTTTGAGGATGAGGAGAGCGTGGTCTCCTGCAGCTGGTGTGTGTTAGGAACAGCTTTGGCAACCTCAAACTCCCCGTGGGGTCGAGAGGCACCACCAGCACGGGGAAATCCTCACCGGCTCGGTGGGACGGAAGCACCACCGTGGAGAGCATCGGCAGCATCGTCACCGTGAAGCAAATCAGCACGACCACGTGTGGACCTGGTTCCACCCCCAGCAGCATCCCCATGTCCCTGCACTCCTTCTCCTTGCAAGGATGGGATTGGGTGCTCCTGTTTCAACCCACCGCAGGGCACGGGGACTTTGTATCCACCCCAGGTCCCTGGAGGAGTCAGCAGAGGTCCAGAGGCTCAGCTGGGGGCTCAGTCCGTGCTCTCCCTGTGCACCGGAGGGAATTTAAGGCAGAGGGAATTTAGGACTGGCTTAGTAACAGTCGTTTTGTTGCAGAAATAATTCTGAGAGAATTTCTGAGGCCTGTCACTGGAGAATGACTTCTTGGTTTGGAGACCCAGATCAGCATGGTCACAGGTTCAATCCTTTATTTCTGTGCAAACACTGAGGGAATTTAAGGCAGGAGAAGTTCATGACAGCCCTGTCACTGTGCTGTGACCCAACCACGTGGCCTGGTTGGTGCTGTCGAAGCTTCACGGCCTTCCCACCTCTCCACCCCAACTTCCAGCAGATGCTAAGGATGTTTTGGTGGCCCTGGAGGTGGCGGGTGTGGAGAAGCAAAGGAAAACCTCAACCCCTTGGTTTGGGTGGGCTTGGGGTTGCATTGCCCACACGAGCTGGAGGCTTTGGCTCTGCCGCCCCATCGCAGCAGCTGTTTGACTTTATCCTTTGAATCCTGCTATGTGATGGAAGAGCTGTTAAGCTGATTGGATTAGTGCGTGCAGGGGCTCTCCTTATCCTGGGATTCTCCAGAGGCGAGAGTGGAATTATCCAGGGATGGATGCCGGCAGAGGGAGCTGCCTTTTCACACACGCCGAGCAAACGAAGGCATTCCTGGGCCCAGAGTGTTTTCTCACGGATCATCCCCAGAGGGTGAAGGTGGCAGGGCTGGAATTTGCAGTGGGATCTCCCTGGAGCGAGGTGAGGGATTCGGGGTTGGCTCAAGAAATGCCTTCAGCAAAGGCCTGGCTGTGCCTGGGGCTCACACAGAGATGAATTCCCACCCGGCTGGGTGAGCATGGCAGCAAAGTCCCTGCTGCTGCTCCCACCACCCTCAGCCCCCGGGAGCATCCCCATGGAACTGCGACCCATCCTGCCCCACGGATGCTCCTTGCAGGAGGAACCTTGGAATGCTGCCCCTCGCTCAACCCTGGCACTTTGTGAAGGTGACGGTGACATTTGAGAGCAGATTTTTAAATCTCATCATTATTTCATGTGCTGGGAACTGGAGACCCCTCATTAATCCCGGTGCCTGGAATGGTCCTGACATCCAGCTGCAGCTGGAGCATCTCCGAGCCAGCCACAGCCCTGGATCCTTTCCTTCCTCCAGCATCCCTTGGCAGAGGCCCTTCAGGATTTGACTGCCATGGGGTCCAGTGAAACCCCCGTACCTTGCTGGGTTGGGGTGTTTTCAGCTCGCCCTCCCAGTTTTCCCAGATGGCGGAATTTGGATCGCGTCTTCCAGCTCCACATCAGCCACCAGCTTAAAAAATATGTTCTTCTTCCCCAGCCTGCGTGGTTAATGGTGACAGATGAAAAGATCAGGCCTAGGATGGATGGATCCCTGTGGAAACCCAGTTAATAAATCCCCCTCTCCGGTGACAGACAGGCGATAACTCGCTCTTGAGCAACAGTTTGCCGGCCTGTTGGGCATTGATCCTCCTCTACGTCGAGTTTTCCCTCAGCTCTGCTTGTGAGAGTGAAAAGTGGGCCAGCAACAGAATC